CGTTTCCGATTACTCGATTTCTAACCTTTTTAACAATGGAAACACTTCGAGGTCGATTCATATCCTTTACTACAGTTTGAAAACGAATGAATACAAATAGCAGTTACAAGTGATTTAAAGTTGAAGAGTGTGGTCTTTATGAAATATGATGCATATGAGCATAAGTCAAATATAAAACTTTACGAGTGTTCTTGAAAACTGATCGATTACACTACCTGTAATTGCTTATAATAGTATAAGTCTCAAGTCCTCTAATAACAGTAAGATTATTAGTTTTCAACTGAAATTGAATCGTACTTTTTAAATAACTAACTAACTAACTAATGAGAAAGGGATGAGCTTTGATTTTTGTTCATTCGAACAATACTACTCTGAATAAACTGCACTCAAACATTCGTACTCAATTTAAACTATATTTCTAGTACTCGTGGAGCAGTTTCGAAATTATGATGACTATTTTTATGCACTTCTATTGAATAATAATTTTCATCTTGTGAATTAATATCGCCCGTAGAAATTATTGTCATTACTGAAATGCAATTCCGGTCTTTCTGGAGGCTAGGATGTCTGTGTCTGGTTCTCCTGAGAACCAGTAAATGTGTGAATAATCATCGGAATCAACTAGGGTGTACAGTTTCAGTACAATGAGATGCGATTTATAATTGACAGAGTGTGATCCCGTTACCTTCCTCCCCAAATTATTCTCCATATTGTTGCTTCATCACCGAGGTCCTCGTTGTGCATTGATTGCTTCAGTAATGTCTAATTATGACTATAGGAATACACAGACATGGGGTAAACATTCATACAAATGGGGTAAAAATATTCCTCATTTGCATTTTTCAGAATTTGAAAAGTATCCTAATGAGACTGGTTGTTTGTTAATCCACATAATACTTTTCCACGGAATTCACTATATAAAAGACAGTTGTGAATCCTAACGCCGCACTATCAAACTCAAGTTATTCAAAACACAAAGCCCACCGAATGCCAAGATCTAATTGGGAATGTGACGATCAACCCGCTGGCCCCAAGCAGTGAAAAGAATAGGATAAATTCGATCAGAAAGCACACACAGACTTCAATTTCGTTGATGGTTTCTGTCTCATAATACAGATGCTCGCAGATGTGTTCTACAGATGTAAACTGACAACATAGCATAAGAGATAGCTCAGACAGCAATTCAGGTAAACAGACTGATGACAGAGCTGATGAAGATGTCTAACTAATAATAAATGCTACTGACCAGTAGAAGAAATCTAAAGGAAGTCGTCCCTTTCACTTACCTTCGAAGGATGGCTTCAAATATAGGTGACACACATTCGGACGTCAAAGCCAGGAAAGTAGTGTGATAGACAAACAGGCAATCGTTATCCTGAAATCAGTGGGAACACCTACAGTACGAAGAGTGAGATCCAGATTGCTGATTTTATGTCAGGGCCTTTACATGGTCCAGAGACTCACACATCACAAAGAGAATTTTCAAGTATTTGTTTTTGTTTGATTGCATGGGGGATTTCATCATGAGCTGACATCAGTTACAGAACCCCTAGAAAGCCTGGAAGAACTGGAGAGCTGTTTTGTCCTAGCTTGGGACCCTTCAGCTGTACGCAGCCACCGGTTGAATCATTTCATCAAAAACTGCCTTTACTCTGTCCTGAGGACCAGATTGTCGGAAGGAATAAGGAACTCCGATTAGGAACCAAACAATAAACCACTGGCCAACGACTATTCAGGAAGAAATGAAGATGGGCTGAACACACTGAACAGAAATTCAAATTTACATTCCAGACCATCGAGTGGAATATCGAATGGCATTTGACAAGTTGGGTATGTGAGGGTATCAGGGAGATCATGTGGTAAGAAGCTTGGACCATTTTGACATTTCCGATTGCAGTTCAGAATGATAGCAGAGAACCAAGGGCAACGGAAACATGCTGCTGTATTCCACTCGGGAAGCCAGGGACGAGATATAATGGTTATATGATTATTGCGGATTATCACTACCTTATTTTATTCGTTGTTACAATAATAATACTTATTACTGGCAAATCATTACTAAATTACTGACACTTGCTAGCTACTTTTGCACTTCTCATACAGTTTTCTTCTGTCTTCTCCTCTCTCCACGGGTACTGCGCTGGATCACTCCACTGAGACAGTTTCTCCATCCGTTAGATTATTGATATTCGAATGCAGGACTGAAACCAGTCAAATTACACTTCGGAAATATTTAAAACATGGTTGGCACATCTGAATGGAATAGGAATGGGAACGGCCGTCATCAAGAAATCGGTTAATCAATTCAAATCTCTGGTCATGTAACTGCCAACATCACAGTGACTGTGAAATAATCAGAATTTTCAAAAGATACATCCAAGAATACAGTCTATGGCGTCTGCTTAACACCACAAGAACCAATAATGCTTATTAGATTTGAAGCCTTTGTGTTTTATTTTAGCAGTAATCATCTCAGACCAACACTTATGTCCTAATAACTCAAACAGCTGGAACTAGCAAGTGAAATGTACAAGCTTTAGGCAAAATGCCGATTCAGTATGTGATGTAGCCCATTCTGTCGGAACCTATTTAACTGAAGGTCAGTTTCATCAAAACGTCTCTCATGTTATTCATATTCTTTTCGACATCTTTGTTTATTTCAAACAATACTGGTCCCAATTTCTCAGTGAGTATACGTATCACGATAGCTAACAATTATTGGTAAGCTCCACACGTTGACGCTCGCAGAAATGACTTGTTTCAAGCCAACAGGAGTCACTCATTTCTTACATTTGAAGAACCTGTTGTATCCACATGGGAAAGAGCGTGTAACTTTCAGAAGTTGTGAGGGTGAGTCACTTCGTTTGTGAAAGCCTAACTGTGGCTGAAACAAAATGAGCTGTGTCAGTGTATTGTTCGATTGGATAAGCGCACGTTTTGCAGTCTGGTTACGAAGCGATAATTTAAAAATTTACCATTACAAGGGACACTAATATAGTGAGTGCTTGTGGCCAAGGTCGAGTGCTGATATAGCTGGTATCTATTTTTTTAGAATCTAACAGGATTACCTCATAAATGAAGTCCTATTTGAAAGTCTGCGTCCAACAGGATCCATTATCCATCGACTATATGGTCTACCAAACGTGTCAAAGAACACTCTCCAGCGTGGCTGCAAAGAGGAGGCACCGGTTCAATGAGAAGTGCCATTATTGAGCATCTGATCAATACCTCCCACAGCATCTCAACTGATTCATTCAAAGTAATTTACAAAGTCAACAGGAACCTACCGAAAGCAGTTTGTTTCCGACTTCTCTGTACTGCAGAAGCCCTCGCAATATGCATCGAGAAGCCGGAGCTGTGTCCAAAAGAAATTAGTCCAACCTCTACAACTACCATGGACTTAGTTCGGTATGTTACCGTAGCTTCCGTTTTTGTTTTGTTTTTTTCTTTGTTTTTTTCTTTTTGGCTTTTGTTTTTTGTTCCCTTTTCGTTTACTATGTGTGTGATTCTTACTCCCTCAGCCTTCATTCGATTCACCCTATTTTTTTTCCAGTTATAAAAAAACAGTTATTTTGAGTTTGTTTACATGCTTTTCCTGTTCACATTTATAATCCGTTTTAAAAATTTGCAAATATATCTTAATCCTGTGCAACTTTTTGTGTTTCTAAGGCTCTTGTAATCTATATTCACACCTCCTAACTTCCATTTTAAGTTAAAACTATTATATCAATTTTGTTTCCATGCTCACTTTCTGCACACCTGTAATTTGCTAAATCCCATGTAATTTTGTTTCTAAGGCTCTTGTAATCTATATTCGCACCTCCTGATTCCCATCTCAAGTTGAAAATTATTATTTCAATTTTGTATCCATGCTCATTTTTACACACTTGATATGCGTTCTAGTCCTGCGTAATTTTGTTTCGTAAAACCATATCTAGTTTGAAATAATTATCACCTTTTATTCGCCGTCATAATTATGTAGAATTAAACAAGAATTGTCTCCATGTGAAATTATGTATTCAAATGCGGTTGTACAAATTTTGAAAATGAAATCGCCGAAAAGATATCTTTGCTGAACTTCTTATTCTTCTCATTTATTGATTGACAATAGAAGGCTTTTCTAAAAGAAACCTTTACTAACTTAATTTCACCTTGAATGCGTCAGCTGAAGACTTGATGGAAGAAATGGTACTCACAACAATATAATTCCTTCTCGTTTTCTGAACGGTCCTCCTATTTCTCTTGAAATGCACATATTGCGTGGGGAGGAAAAGAAAAGATAGGTCAAGTTCATGGTCATTTTTTAGATATTATAACACTGTGACGAGATATCCTGTCTGCCAATAGTATGATAAGGAGAAGCGATTTAAACTGTTGTGCTTTTCTACTATGATAAAATGGTCAAACCAAAATTTGTACGCCTGGAATTCTTTTGGTGTTCTTTTATTATCTGTGAGACTGTCTTGAGACAAGGACTGGCTATCTGGATGCAGTTTTCTAGTTTCGATTTTACCAGAAATGCATAAGAATTATTGAAAATTGTTCAGATTATTGAAAACTTGACAGGTGGTTCTAGTTGAAGTGCTGCGTATTCCCCATAATGATCTAGAACTTCTAACTACCACTGCACAACAATCAGTCGAAGTTTTATAGTCATGGTTTGACATAAAACACGTTAACCCATGTGTGTATCAACTGTTGGGAGTTGTATTCACTCCATACAAAACCTACATAATACTGATTGGTTGATATAAGTAGTTGTACACCACTCACATCAACCAGTATAGTTTGTTAGACTACGGTAACAATATTCAGTTGAAAAAAAACAAGTACTTAGATGAAATACTCATGTGATTGTGTGGTGATTCTATCATTAAATATCAGATGAGATCAAAGTCCATTTCAGTGTTAACATAAAATCTACTGAAATTGAGGTAATAAAGATATTGACAAGAACAGAGAAATCATGATTTTTAATTCTGTGTTATTCTTGATTGCACTGCTGCTCAATAACTCACTTTATACAATAGCAATAGTCCCAAAGCCGTCAATTTACGAAAAATCTTCGACACTTTGCTATTTACAGCGTCCACTCAACATTCAACACAGCTATTCCTCATGCAATATACTGTCAGAAGCTGAGAAGAGATTTCAAAGTCGGTTGGCATTGAAACAACCGCCAATTTCCGAAGAAGTTGAAGTCACATGCAACATAAACACTCTGACAATCAAAATCGTATTGGGATGTGACGAAAGCCGTGGTCAGCTATGGCCAACATTAACTGCATCAACTGATGAATCATGTGAGTTGTACCATAACGACTAATTCAATCACCATTTTGCAGATAATGTGCAGATAGAAGACTCCCAAATAACCATAGACTCCTATGAGGCTTGGGGTGCTTTACACGCCCTTGAGACCATACTTCAATTGGTGTACCAGGGAAAAGATGGAGGGGTGAGTGTCGTTTTCACCTATGGCTTGATTTCATTAATTCATTTCATCATACAGAATGTTATATTTAAAGGATCGTTGATGGACGAACCGGATTTCAAACACCGTGGAATGCTGATTGATACTGCGAGGTACTTCTTACCACTTGATATCCTGAAGAAACTAATAGTAAGAAGTGCAATAGTAGGTATGATGCTTTCTCTTACCAGGATAGCATGGCCATGGTCAAGATGAATGTGTTTCACTGGCATATTACGGATGATCAGTCATTTCCCTTTGTCTCGACTACTTGTCCGGAACTGTCACAGCAGGTGAGTGAGGTGAAAGAAAATCAGGTCATATATTGATCGAAATGTTTGTTTTAACTACAACAGGGTGCATATCATCCTCTGAGGTGCACATATAGTGAAGAAGATGTGAAAACACTGTTGGACTACGCCCGTCAACGTGGAATTCGTGTGATTCCAGAGTTTGATACTCCAGGTAGGTAATTTTAAATATATATTTAATATGATGTGATTATCTATCATATGAGTTCAAATGAAATAATACCATGCAAAGATTTGAATGAGTATGAACATGCTCTTGGAATGATGCTGAAAGTAGACTGTCTATCAACCAATTCAAGATAGTCATCAAAAATATAGTGCAGTTTATGCATGATTTTGTGTGTGAATGTGTGTTGAAGCAAGGAGATGATGAGAGGCTTTTACCTTTGCTGAGTTACCTAGCAGGTTTGATTTTGCTGGAAATTATAAACCCAAGGTGGTTTTGAAAAATTCGCAGTTTGTGACTATGTTCAGTCGCCAACTATTATCCAGACAATATGCGGAATTATCCGACCAGTGAAATGCGTGAATATTATTGGTCCAATGTTTTCATTCAACGTCTTGCAGTTGATACTTGAATGAACCGACGTAGTTAGTGTGAAATACATGTGATATACGAGTTGAACAGTGTATAATTTCAGCCAGCAGAATACGAATCAATCTCAGATGGTGATTGCATTAATCATCGTATTTTGTATCTCAACGACATTATTTGTCGAAATATTGTAAGGATGATTTCCAGTGACTGTCACAATCATCTTTTGTAGCGCATACATTGTCATGGGGGAAAGGATATCCAGACTTACTAACCAAATGTTATGACGGCGGCAGACCAAATGGAAAGTTGGGTCCATTGAATCCAGCCAATTGGTCGTTGTATGAGTTTTTGGGGAAATTCTTTAAAGAAATCGTCGAAAGATTTCATGACAATTACATTCACCTTGGCGGCAATGAGGTTGACTATGAGTGCTGGTGAGTTCTGTTGATTTTACGTAAGAGCAAATATAGAATCAATTTTATGGCATCGCCATATTTTCATTTCAAACTGAAGGCATACTTTTATCTGTCTCAGATTAACAGGCGCTGAACTAGTCTCATTTAAACATTTTTCTCATCGATTCATTTGCATTTCAGTAATTATTCCTTGGGAGCAACAGGAAGAACAACTCTCGATTTAAGCACTAGGAAGTGACATGGATGGTATTTTCAATGAGACTCCACCGCATTTGAGTTTCCGATTTGTTGGTTCACAAGTAATATGAAAACAAACACCACTTATAGTGGTGTCGTGACGTCATTTTGAAGTTTGTGCTAAAGATGCCTAAAAACTTGCATCAAAAACTGTGTGTACAGGAAACAGTGTATAACAACATTCGACGGTTTCTAAACCTGACCAACTGATTTAGCAAAATATCATTCTGTCTTAAAGTGTCCCTTTATCTGATATTACCAGTGGATTGCAAAACATTTAGTGCAATCAAACATGGTAGCGACAAAAATCGCCAGTGAAATATAATCTCACATTATTCCTCTTCTGGATGGTTAACATAAACGAATGCAGACAACTGGCCATGAGGCACGACAATTTCTTCTTCTTTTTCTTCTTCAGTAGAACACTGAATATTACAGCACCTATCTATCTCATTCTTTCCTTTTCACTGAGTGGAATAGAAAATCCTCATCAACAATCTCTGATCAAGTTGTATTTTAACAATTAATTCATGTAGATTAACGGGAGACTTCATATTGCTGATCCTTATTTGTAGGCAGTTTAAGTTGAATCATCGACAAGAACATGGAACAAATTTATTTATTGTCTTCCTGTTTATTTTAGGAGGTCGAATCCGGAAATAATTGAATTCATGGAACAAATGGAATACGGTGAGGATTATTACCAGTTACATATATATCATCTGGCGAAAGTTATTGAGATTGTTAAGAACATGACGAAAGACCCTAAATTGCCGATCACTCCAATTGTGTACCAGGAGAGTTATCGTGGTGAACGTGAAGTAAGTTTTGGAAAATATGCTTGTAATTAGATCACTACACTCGATATTCAGTGATGATTATCTGTATCCTACTGACAGTCGTTTTTACTTGACGATAAGGAGTAATGATGTGATTCAGTCATATATTTTGAAGAATAGTTCAAAGACAGATTATGGCAAGCATTTATTTTCAAGTTATTTTAGTTCACTTCTAAAACGTTTGTTCCATGTTGGCTGATCTGGTGTCTAAAGATAAAATAATCCAACTATTTAATCACCATCAGGGAAACAGATCTAGGTCGCCGAATGCTGCGTTTGGGTGTTACTTCATGTAAGGTCATAGGAGAATATTTTCTCTTATTTTTTGTCGAGTGGAGTCTGTCATGCTGAGTGTGGCTAAGCCCTCTCACTTTCACAACCCAGTCGACCTAAATACAGCTGAATAATCCCTGTGCTTGTTCGTGAATTCATCTGGTTGTATTCGATCAATGGAGTTATTTCATGTGATTATTCACTTTGGACAGGACACAGGATTTCACTTCGTTAATGGAAATTTTCGTTCTCTATATTTCTGTGGTGAGTGTCTGTTGACACATGGGATTCCAGAACAGACATCCTGGCTTGTGTCTTTGTTCCCAGTTCCAGTGGTAAACTTGTCGTTCATTATAGTGATCATACCGCTAGTTGATGAGTCTTGAACGGAAAGAAACTTGTATCTACATTTTCACTGTTAACAAACATGAACAGAATCAAATCAACATTTATTTAGTTTAATTTAAGTTCGCTAATCATCTTGAAAATTTACTTGATGATTAAAGAACAGAGGTGATTTAGTTTTATTCTTCGGTTGAATAAATGTAACGTGTTGCATATTTTATCCATGTCAAATGACTGACAAACCTCTGAAAAGAGGCATCAGAAAATTTGAGATCTCAGGTTAAATAACTTTATACAGTCAACCTGTAAACGAAATGCTTCATCCATTCGACAATGCGCCATCCCGAATTTCCAGAATAACAATCAACCGATAATTCCTTTCAAATTAATCTTAATAGTTATATCAGTCTGATGTTCATACCACTAACTTTACAAATGTTTCATTCGGTTTAACAGATTGACCATGGAACAATCATTCATGTCTGGAAAACTGTAGATTGGCAAAAATACGTCTACAATGCCACTCGAGACGGATATAATGTTATAGTTTCTGGTACATGGAATCTCAATGACATACAAAATGATCTTGATTGGATGAGATATTACGCACAGAATATCAGAGATTTCGGAGGTGAGTTAATTTTCGCGTAATCTGAAACAAATACTTCTTTGAACCAAATTTATGTGTTGACGACATTTATCTGGGTGTGTTGCAAGTTTCGCTTCGCCTGTGTCATGCAACCGTTTTGAAATGAACACGAATTCACAATGATTGCAGAGAGTGCGCTGTTTCTTGAGGCACAAGTGTGAGTCGTTTGACTTTGTACAGTATGTTGGCAAATTAACAGCAAAATGTATATAAACATATATAATGGAAGTCAGTGGGACATTCACACTGAATTCGGGAGTCTGTCATTAAGGATAGTGTAATATTCGGGATTTGTAGATCTAGTTGTGGATTTTGTTTTCTTTGTTCTTTTCATTTTCTGAGATAAATGGTTTCACTGCGAATTCATAAATGCTGAACAAGCGCATCTCCCAAAGCAAACATTCACTGAAGAGTCTTGACCTAATGAAGTAGATTTGAGTCTCAACATCGGATTCGTTGTAACGATAAACATTAATGTCTGTTTCGCTGTCACTAAAAATCTACATTCGGCAAAACACACGTGACAATGTTGTGCGTGGAAAGGAAAATGTTGTAAATTTTACAGTGTTGCATCATTTCACCCAGAAGTGAACCAACATCAATGCCACTGATGATCTGACTAGCTATTCACTTTCCAGATTGTGTTTATCCTGCTTTTATGGATGTAATTTTTGTGGAACATTTTGATGCAATTTTTGTTACTCCTATTGAGACATGCAACTCATTTCATCCTTGCGACAATACATATCCTGTTTAGATCTTTTCTTCAGTTTGAAAGGAATTCGATGGTACCTTGATTACAGAGTTAAAATAGTTTCTTCCTCGGACAGCATTAATTGAGAAATTAGGAGGCAGATTCATTTTTCATTACATCGCAAACATATTCTAACTTCTATTTAGACTGGTAAAAGTTTCATGACAGACATTAAGTGTGACATGTTGTGCATAAGATGACATTTCACTGAGTAGCATATCTAAAGGCATACTGTTACACGATACATCCTACTAGCATTATTAGTTTTAGGCATTAAATTAAACCATTTTGACTCACCCAGTGACGGCTTCATTCTGCGTACTAATTCCGCTGTAGATTTTTTAACCTTATTCATTATTGTATCTACGGGCTTCTTGATTTCCTCATATGGACCCATTTCAATATGTTCAGTGACCTTCTTGATGTAGTCAGATTTATTCAAAACTACGGTGGCGTTTCCTTTGTCATACCTTTGCTTTGTTATACCATATAAAGAAGGGACATCTGAGACCCTACGTAGGATTCTAAATAAAGCAGGAATTAGGGTGGCATTTAAACCTACAAACTCACTCAGGGACAAGCTCTGTAGGTTTAAGGACCCAGTGGACCCAATTAGACAAAATAATATAATTTACAAAATACCCTGCAATGACTGTGAGGTCAACTACATAGGTCAAACTAGTAGGTCAGGGGTAGTCAGATTGTCAGAACATAAGAATTTAGCTAAGGTAAGAATGGTTGACCCAGAGAAGATAAGTAATTTAGAAAAAAGCTCGGCAATCGCAATGCATGCATTAACACACAACCACACAATAGGGTGGGAGAGGGTTAAAATTCTAAAAAGTAATCTAGGTAGGTGGAGAGAGAGGTTGATTACTGAATCTTTGTTCATCGAATCTACACCCAACACATGCAACAGAAGTGACTCAATGCAAATACCAGAAATATGGAAGATATTATTGCCACCAGTCAAATCAGAAGATGATAAATAGTCTTAAAATTCTATTTCCATTCAAGCACATCATAACATTCTAACAATCAACTTATTATGACTGTAAAAAACACTCGTCGTATTTCCCATCTAATTGCAATGGATTAATAAC